ATGTGAAACTAGAGTGCAAAGTAGTGGAATAGTGGTGCAAAGTTTGAAACCAGAGTGCAAAGTAGTGAAATAGTGATGCACAGTGTGAAACTAGAGTGCAAAGTGGTGCAAAATGTAAACTAGTCTGCAAAGTAATGTATAAGTGGTGCAAAGTGTGAAACTAGAGTGCAAAGTAGTGAAATAGTGATGCAAAGTGTGAAACTAGAGTGCAAAGTATTGGAATAGTGGTGCAAAGTGTTAAACTAGAGTGCAAAGTAGTGAAATAGTGATGCAAAGTGTGAAACTAGAGTGCAAAGTAGTGAATTAGTAGTGAAAAGTGTGAAACTAGAGTGCAAAGTAGTGGAATAGTGGTGCAAAGTGTGAAAATAAAGTGCAAAGTAGTGAAATAGTGATGCAAAGTGTTAAACTAGAGTCCAAAGTAGTGAAATAGTAATGCAAAGTGTTCATCTAAAGTGCACAGTACTGGGAAAGTGGTGCAAAGTGCGAATCTGGAGGGCAAAGTAGTAGCAAAGTGTGCTACAAACATTTTACAGCAGGGACGACCAAATTTTCGGGTTAATTTATGGTGTAATATTTCACTACTGAATATGCTCTATAGTTTGAAAAGTAGGTTTGGCATTCCAATTTCTTTCTGCAAACTTGAAACGGACAATGCAAACACATACACATAAGTGTATCATGTTTTTAGCTGCGTTCAACAAACGCATAGTTCATTTTTTCTTTTACTGCGAGATCCTTCGTTATTCATAAAATCGAATGTAAAAACATAACAAGGTCATAGCGTCATAGCTGTGTTAAAACAACGCGTGGAATTCGTCAAAATATTCTTGGGGTAATTCTATTCTTATTAACGTGCTATGTATTTTTTATGATAGTTGATGTTTATGAAGTGAAGATATTTCAGCGCCATATTCCTCTCAGAATAGTATGTTTTTCGACAGTTAAATATATATATATAAAGAATGGAAAATCAAATCATTCGATTTTGCGACAGATGTTGGAACTGCACTAGAACACACAGAAACTCACATATTGGTGATAATGATGAGGAAGTGATATAACAAAACATTCAGTAAAATGATAATGAGTGCACAAACTGAGAGGACCATACCAGTTGTTTGTGTTCTGATATCCTATTCTCTATGTTTGTATCTCGCAGAATAAAGTTGATAAGTTCTATAATCTTGTTATCAAACATCACCATTGAGTTGGCAAGATTACCCTACAAAACAAAACGTGGTTATATATGTGGTCACAGAGCAGTTAAATAACATCGTTAAGAAACACGAATGTATGGCTACTAAGTATATAATTCCGTTGTGTAACTCACCGATGCAAACTCATTAAGTGTTGTGAATAGTTCTACAAGAAGTGCAATATTTGTGTCATCAAAATTAGCATATAGTATGTTCAGGAACATTGTTGTTTCTGCCACTATGTTAACACTAGTCATGTTATCGGGTTGATCTCTCAGATAGTTCTAAAATATAAAAACAAATGTTATCTAAATGAATGTGAACGCGACATCGTACTACAATACGTACATTTATTTTTGTTATGGATGTGACTATATAAACATTAATTACCTGTTTATTCTGTACAACCATGCATATAAGTATATAAGTATGAGATGTTTACATACCAAGAATTTAAATGTACACATGTGTCTTGCACCATCGTCCTGCAATGCATGACTCACTGTTAACCATGTCGGTACGAATTGATAATAATATAACGAATACTGCGGTAACTATACCTGTAAGCCTGTATGCTGTCCGTCGCACATTTGCCCTAGAGTTCTGAAGAGTAGTTCAATTAGGCCATCTTTTTTGAAATAATTCATTTTTTCTCGTTTTGGCTGATTCTGTATATAAAACAGTAAAACAGCATTAGACAGTGATTCAATACACATAAATTTGAAGTGATTTTAAATAGTGCAGTGAGTGTACAAGTACGCATTACATGTTATTTACAAACATTGAATTTGTTCTATATATATAATTTTTATATAGCAGAAATTACCGTGTCAAGCTATGGCCCTGACTACAACTAATAACCAGAAATATGAACAGGAAGAAGGATTTTGTTTACCATACCCACATTACCTTTTCATCACCGATATCTGGAGATACTTCGCTACTGTTAATTGTATCCATTTTCATTGCATTTCCTTCTGTGCTGTTCTGCGAGATTCGAAGACCATTAGCTGGTTTATCAGTTGAATTCTATAAATAAATAATTACATACATAGCGTATACATTATGTATTGTGAAGTATAATCCAAATTCATAGAGTAACCGTAGTCAGGTGTAATATTCATATCGTGAATTCCTTTGAAATCTTATTCGGATTATCTGTAACTAAACACATATTCACATCTGAATCCCCACAATACTTGATATGGATAGTTTTGACTTGAATGTTCTGCCGTACGTAAAAGCTAAATAACATTCTCAGAGCAAATCCACTATGTATCCCTATATTAAAATACAAATATTCAACTATGGGACGTATTTCATGACATGGGAGATATGAATTTTCTTGAGATACATGTATGTTTTAAACTATCAGCTCGGTCAAATTTGGGAAATTGTCAGTTATCCATTTGAGTTTTATGATCATTTTGTAACGCTATTGAATCACTTTCATATATGCGTGAGTTCGCACCGAATTACCGTGATACACACAGGTACACATACATGCTTGTTCACAGCAATAAACTACATGGATATGCATGTGCACTGCTTATGTTTATGGCAAGAAACTAAAATATGTATATTTTGTATACAAGCTGAGCTGACATGTTCACAAACCATCGTTATTATATATATAATCCACTCAGTTGCCTGAGTGCGAGCTCATCTTATAGCCTATGGTTTGTAGATAAGATAATGACTGATAAAATCCGAAACTGTCCGTGTTATTACTACTAAAAGAAGACATGGTTCATGTACAAGTGAGGCAAGCTGAATTCGAACTTGGCTGACACCCCAAACTAGATAATGATTTATCCAATTTTGACAATGATCTGATAACAATGACAAATGCTTGACATAGTGTAATATAGCAACATACTTTCTGTTTGAGTCAATCTCAACAACAAAAACAACGGGAATATACGTTACCTTTCACCTATGTTAACACGCGAAAATTAAAAACGAAACGATAATTACTCACTTAACCTTGCTATAAACATAATACATTATAGTACATACCGTAATAGATGTTGCTGTATTCGATTGCATTCTCAAATCCTCTTCCATTTTATTTCGCGCCTCAAGTTGACTGAAGAGTGCACGTCTGGACAAAACAATGTGTATTATTATTAATAGTAACATTGCGTCACGCCTGTGTGTCGACACTTGGCATATCGCTGTTACTGGTATTTACATGACACTCAGACTATATATATACTGCGTACAGTTAGTAACTGTGAAACATTAACTCCACTGATCGGTATCGCCGAGATGTAATCAAATTAAAGTGAAGGTGCCCAATACACCTGGTAAATAATCTCATGAAAATGTATAAAAACGTAACAAGAACAATCTCAACTATTAATCGGGTGTTTTACGTTATCGCTCACACACACATATTGGTATACATACTTTTCTTTAATTGATATTTTAGATATATGCATTAAGTTCCTGGCCGCCATAAAAAAATGTTCTTCTCTTGAACGTCGAAAATAATTCTCAAGGCTGGTCTATAAAAGAAAATACAACCATATAATACAATACTATACACACAATCTACCCCCTCCAAATTGAAAGGCACTCGATTCAAAGGATGTGCAAATTGCTAATCAATCACTTTCACACCATAGCCTAGAACTGCATTTTTTTCTGACAAAAGTAAATTAACAACTATATAAGTTTGTGAGTAAAGTAAAGTACGGTACATTACGGAACAGTAAAATACGTACGAAAGAGTAAAGCACGGCACAGTAAAGCACAGCACAGTAAAGCACAGTACATTACGGAACAGTAAAGTTCGGTACATTACGGAAAAGTAAAGCACAGTACGTACGGTACAGTAAAAACACGGTGCATTACGGAACAGTAAAGTTCGGTACATTACGGAAAAGTAAAACACAGTACGTACGGCACAGTAAAGTACGGTACATTACGGAACAGTAACGTACGGTACATTACGGTACAGTAAAGTACTGTACATTAGGACACAGTAAAGTATGGTACATTAGGATACAGTAAAGTACGGTACATTACGGAACATTCAAGTACGGTACATTAGGATACAGTAATGTATGGTACATTAGGATACAGTAAAGTACGATAGATTAGGATACAGTAAAGTATAGTACATTAGGATGCAGTAAAGTACGGTACATTGGATAAGGTTTAATACCTGTAAGCCGTGGGTGCCAACTTACCATGTAATAAGTTTGGTTGACGTCAGTACAGGAATACGGTCGTAAAATTCCTGCACAAACAGATCCGCATAGGTTGACAATATTTTATGTAAATATGTATATATATGTTTTAGTTTCCCTCAGCATCTGGCAGGGGGGATCGTAACCTCCGGTAGTGAGAACCAGTGTGACTGGCCTGCCCACAGAATGCTAAGGTTTTCATAGTAAAATTTATCAGTCACATCCGTTAATGTAATTTCGTTTTATTTATCCGTAAATCAAAAATCACATGAGGATACAGTAAAGTACGGTACATTACGGTACAGTAAAGTACGGTACATTATGATACAGTGAAGTACGGTACAGTAAAGTACGGTACATTAGGGTACAGTAGAACATGGTACATTACAGAACAGTAAAGCACGTTACATTAGGAACCAGCAAAGCACAGTAAAGTACGGTACATTAGAACACAGTAAATCACAATACAGTAAGGCACAGTAAATCACAGTATATTACGAACCAGTAAATCACAGTACATTACAAACCAGTAAATCACAGTACAATGCAAATAATGAAGTTGATAAATTACCTGAACTTGTACGTTGCCATTGAACAACATAGCTGAAAGAAAAGCTAACACCTCGTGTGACAATCTTTCACGCGTTCTTCCCAGTAATGGCAGGATTTGTAACATGGCGCCATGATTATCTAACTCATTTTGAACAGATTCGATCTTCATTAGTCGACTGAAAAAGAGTGTGCAATTAATCGATGTGTTGTATTGCTGTCCATATGTACAGCAGTTCAATTACACTATACCTTATGCGACATAGATGTAGTGAGTAGCACATGGGCGGGACATAAAAAAGATGTGATTTGTGATTATACTTTTAGATGCAACGCTTGAAAAATAAAAAGAATGACTTGTATATATATCACCTACTCTGTGTGTTTTTTAGGATTTTCCTTCCAGTTATGCGGTAACTGACGTTCCTCGTTGTGGATCATCGCTCTAAGTATCTATAACAAAATATACTCAGATAAAACCATGCAATAAAGAATTTTCGTTTTCGACATTGTACATTTTGTGTGCATTAAAATCATATTTATTAAATTTATTGTTCATAAATGAGTTGTGAACACACTATGTATTTCGTAATTTCATTTAGCTTCTCTTAGTCATAATTCAAGATAAAATGAAAGGTAAAAATAATAAAGAGAATATAGCATATTATCTTTTTTTTCTGTTATATTCTTCTGTAATCGCTAATTGTTTTGCATATGGAATACATTCTTTATGAATTATTCTTAGTGTATTACTAGAATTCTTTTGTCAAAATACGTTGTTTTCAGGGTCCCCGCAAAAAAACGACAGAATTTTACAATGTCTTCAGTGTAATAAATATAAAAAATAATGAGGCATAGACTACCAAATATGCATACAAATAATTGAATTTACCTGTAAGCTTTTGATATCCAATGCTTCCTGTTTCAGTCTCTCTTGTTCTGTTGATTTGGGATTGTTACAAGAAATCCTGACAGAAAACAAGAACATATACGGGCATTTACTATATAACTACTAGAAAAACGTAGCTGGGCCATAGAAACAAGTAAAATAAATTAATATCATTACAAAATTGCCGTAATTTAAATATTGTTTCTTACATGAGCCCTTCCATTAGTTTTTTTGCTCTTTGGTATTTGGGTTTTCTACTTTTATTTTTCAAGGCAGAGTGTGCTAAACTATTATCTGAAGTTGTTTTGTGCATGAAGCACTGAATATGTTCCTGGAATTCCGCCCCAAGTGGCAGCTCTTCTTCGCCACCTTTGTCATATTCTATAAATATAAACAAAACAAATGTAGTCAATGCTGGGCATTCCTTCATCATATTATTGAGTATTTAGAGAAAAGAATAAATCTGAATAATCTGTATTCGTAACGGTCTAGAGGAAATTCAATCCAAATACACGACTATGAACAAATGTAACTTCAATTGTTTGTCCCACGTGTAATTCATTATGAAGCTTTAATGTACTAATAATACAATATTGAATTTTTGATTCAATTATGTTTGATTTTCATACAACTAGATGGTTCGACCAGTGAAAACTAAGTGAAGTTTGGACAGCTTAAAACGTGATACTTGACATTTTGTTACTGAAGGCTATGTACCGAATTGAATGTGTAAAATAAACCATGCCGTGCGCTGGTGTTGGAATATTTGATAAAAAGACGAGTTATTTTGATAAATGTCAAAAACATTTATGAACAAACTGGTGATTGAACGATATCACTGTATATTATATTATATTCAATTTCTCGATTAGAGTTAATTTGATGTTTACTCAATTGTGACCCAGAATGATGAATGGCGGGTGACACGTGTAAAGCATGGTAAGTTTATTCATTTCACAACACATTCATTGTTGAGTCTATGTAAAAAAAAAATTACCGATCTGATCACATTTTTTAAAGATATGATGCACTGGGATTAAACCGTTGTGAGACAGGTTAGTTTTACCCTACTGAACATATTTGGAACATATTTAATATCTATCCTTCTCTCACCTCTTGTGTTATTGTTATTTGTTTTCAATTGTGCATCCACTGTATTTTCACCAATGTAGCTTAACCTTAGGTTATTAGCGTAGTCATTCAAACAGTGATTGATATGTTCTTCTTCCCTGTACGTGTCTTGGTATTTCTAGAGGCAGATAATATAATGAATTAACTCAAACATTGATAAATCCCATTATAGAAATGCATTATTGTCATTGATAGATGACGAGTTGTTAAAAGACAGAATGTGGTGCAGTTCAATCTGATTAAAATCTGATAATATTATACGGCGTGAATTTATTTGTGTTATAATTTGCGCGATTACCACACACAGCAAATACATACCAAATTCAATAAGTGTATGGTAAACATGAATATTGAGAACATATTTTTGTTTAAATGAGAAAAAAATAAGCCTAAACTACGATTTTATTTTAATCAGATTGGGTTTAGTTGAGACAATTATTCAAAGCAATCATCTGCGCATGCGTGTCGTTGTTTACAAACATGCCTCTACCCAATTCCCTTTGCGTTTTTGCCGTACGTTGTTATCGCCGCCTAGACTCAATTCCCGCGTGATGTGCAAGTGGCGATCCCTCCTCTTCTATGAAAAATCTTCAGTTATTAAAATGAAAATAGAAGGGAATCTTGATAACATTATACTTAACAATATACCATTGCGACAATACTCAAACTAGTCATGTTCATTATGTTCTACAAATGCGTTACAAAAAATCGTCATTTATGACAAATGATTGTTAAGACGAATATTTAAATTCACTATGACAAAATGAATAGGATAGTGTACATATTTATTACCTGCTGAGCCACGCTCCTCGTATCGAATGTTTGATTTGCATATCTAGCTAATTCCCCTTTCACCTTGAATCAGATAAAAAATTACATATTTTAAAGTTTGGTTTAAATGATTTATTACAAGTGGCCTTTAAAGCAATGGCGACAACAGATAGATATGTCGAAAGAGAACAAAATCGTTGAAGATTCAGTAGGCCACGATCGACCGACACCTACAGAATTGCATACAGCCTGACGACAGTTGTGAAAGAGATGATCTTCCAAATTGCATATAGGCAAATGAGAACCTTTTAAACACAATGTGTCTATTTAAAAATAACCTGGTATGGTTTTCTAATATATCGCTTGGTGACAATTGATACTTATATACTTTATTCATGTACGGACTTAATGAATTCCTATAGACAAACTGATGAATTGCAAACATCGTCATTTGCCATGTCTAAACTGTTTCAATATTCAGACCACCTACCGCAAGCTTGTTATCCAGTTCTGATTTATCTAACAACACCCTACTTGCTGACATCAGTATGTTGAAGTTTGTCATATTTGTTATCATTGATATGCGAACTGTAGTCCTTACAAATTCCTGTAAATAATTTAAATAATCTTCACTAGCCAAATAAAATATCTTTATATATAATTATATGTATGACTGATTTTTATTGCGATATTATGATCATACATGATTTGCACCTACCATAATAACCTCGGCAAGGTTGTTTACAACTTCTTGTTCATTACGGTGGTCGTAAACATCTAAATGACAAATCTGCTTAAAAAATATCTGAAAAAATATAATAAATTCTATTTCATTATTAATTGCAGGAAATACAAAATTGCGAGTCAATATATAATCATTGACTGTAAAGTTTTTCTTTTTTTAGAGATTGTAGTAACAATTTTAAAATTGATTGGATCAAACATAAGATTGACTAAGTGCACCACCAAATAAATAGATTTAATTTCTCAAATAACGGAGAAATATTAATGCCGAGTGTAGTGTAGTGTAGTGTAGTGTAGTGTAGTGTAGTGTAGTGTAGTGTAGTGTAGTGTAGTGTAGTGTTGCGTCGTACATTACAGTGTAGCGCACTGTGACATGTCTCACCTGAATAATGGGAAATACTCCATCATACATATAATGCAATGACACATCTACTTCCGATGGTATGTTCCTCAGTTGTTGTATTACTCTTCGCTCGTTATTGTCCATATATCTAGTAAGGTTTCTTATATCAATGATTACGGTTTCCAGAAATAACCAAAACAATCTGAAATTAAAGTAATCAAACATGAGGTCAGTACAATCAAATTCAACACTAGTTACCTAGAAAGAAGTGCATAACGCAAAACGGACATATATAGTTTGAAAAGTCTGCACGTCACACATCTTTAGAAATCCCATAGTAAATATTTAGATTTTTAACAGTTACTCACCGTTCGTGCATTAGTTTTTCGGCGCCATCACCAGCTGTATTCATGTACACCCACAATGTAAACCTTGCAAATGGTTTCTTGATCTTATTGCTGATATTAGGATTGGACAATATAGATAGCAACTCATCCAATGAAAAGATCGTTTGACAGATAGACTCAATGAATCTATTCTCACCCTAGTACACAAACACAAATGTACATTTATTTCAAGCCGGCAAAAAATAATTTTCAATCCCCAACGGAATTTCAAGTGTCCATAGTTCAGTAATTGTCTAATAGCGTTACATTTTTTGGACTTAATATCTTGACATGTGGTGTTTTATACTTGAAATGTGTGAAGCCTTCTTGAAAACATAATATAGATTAATAATATGACATGTCCAATTTAACACGTGGTGACGTATATGCCATATTTATGAACTCTAAACAATTATACCTTTGTATATTAATTAATTTACCGTTTAACCCACATAAAATCAGCACATACAGAAACACGTAATAAGTGTATAAGAGTAGACGTTTTTCGATTTCTACGCCGTGAACAAATGTACGGGCCAATAATAGTCATTTTTTTGCACAATTTGAAATTTTAACATTTTAGTATTAGATGTATTGGGATATGTTTAACAGTGTCCGCGTTTCTTAAGTTAGCCTTAGCTTCCGTATATCGCTATATGGTATGACTTCTTTCTAGTTTATATTCTATTTAAAGGTGTTCCGCATTGAAATTTAGGTCATCTTGTTAATTGTATCCATTACTAACAGCAAATTATAATTAAAGGTAACATACCTCTGCACACGTGGCTAATAAATCTACCAATGCTGACATAAAGATCAAATCAGGGCTTCTTTCATCAGCACGTAGAACTTTTTCTCTGTAATGAAGGAAATGCTCGATTCATCTCTATGTAGGTGAGGATTTTTTTATTTTCATCTGCGTACGACCGATGGTCACAAAAGCCGTGTCCAGTTCATAAAGAAGTTATTATAATATGGCTCCATTATAAAAATAATATGTAAGTAGGGACTGTGTGCCAGTATAAATCTAAAATAAGAATGTTCACCCAAATATCGTCGACCGTATAGGTAATTTTTACCAGTATGGGTAATACGAGATTATTTAATTTTTCATTATACCTTTCTTCCTGGGTTGTGTCTATGATAGATGCAACATCGGATCTGTACTGCATAAAAAATTTCATCACGTAGATTTGATTGCGTTTTATTGGTAAGTTCAGTTCTTCAACCTGTCATTGAGTACATCGTAAAACGTAAATAAACATAATGATTACAAGAATCTCATCGCAAAATATACATATAACCTTATTTTATCTTATCTTCTTGCATATTACTCCATTAAATATTCATTAAATATTCCATTCTGTTTATTAATTAAATAAACAGTTTTAGCTATTTTTAATAGTTATTTAGGACTACGATTACCAAATATTATCTTCTATATATCATACCTTGACAAGAGCGCTCAGTAGCTCAAGGAACTCAGGGGTCTCATTTCTATATTGAGAGACAAGATGCATTATCTTCCCGACTTGTTGGATTTTGATTTTAAAACATGCTGTTTTGTTACCAGTAAACACCTACGAAAATTTAAGATATAGAAAAAACAATATGTATTTACGACTTTGAATAGTTTTAAATGGGTTTGTGTGTATGTATGCAAATATGGAAATATTTATTATAAGAGTTCGTACGCTTAGAGTATGTTTACATAGTGTATATCTTTACGCTTAGACTTTCTTTCTCATAATTCAATCTACAAGAGCAATATACAACGTGCTTTATTATAGAAATAATGTGAATATGGTGGAGAATACACAACTCCGTGTTATACGTGATTTAAATCGTATATGTGATGCAAATTAACAAATGTGGATATAGTATAGACTGGCAACAATGTATTTGTATCACCTCTGTAAAAGCCTTTGCCATTTCAGCTTCAGCACCTTTGACATCTAGTAAAATATCCAATCTGTCAAACATACTTTTTTGCACAATTTCATTTCCTCTGTGAATAGAAAGAAAACATAATGATCCTTATTGAGGTAATGCCAATTTACTATCTACAATTATTTGCCTTTATCATGTATCACCTACAGCCAACGTCCTGACTCCAGAAATGGGGTTGGTGGTGATGTCAGTGTGTTTTAGCAATTGGCAATGAACTATACTGTTAATGGTTGCATCTACATTGATGTGGACTTATCGGACCTTTCACAATCTTACAATATGCTATGCGGCCGTTATCATGAAAAACAACTTTCATTAGAAAATAGTTCTTCTTTTAACTTAAAAAGTCCAATGTGCCATCTAGGTATTAATTAGTTTATATTGATTGGATTCATTTGGGTAGAATTTTAAATCTAATTCCACCCGAAGAATTGTAACCGAATTGTTAATCCAGTTCCTAGCAATTAGGTACAAAAATAGAGTATCCTTCCAACAATCAGTACTCTCATTTACGTGCAATCAACTGAGAAAATAATTTACCTGGCCATGCGTTGTAAGCATAAAAACGCTTTCTTGATGATTTCTTGTAATGATTTGTTATATTTATATTCCTAATGAGAATATTAATGAAATCATATTAAATATCTTATCTCATAAAATTACTAAGATATGTTCACCATATAATTAAATAAAGTTAATATTCATTCACATTCTCCCCATAGATATTCATACAATCTCCTAAATTAAGTTCGTACATGTCAACAAATATAATATCCATAGTCAATATTTAGGAATCATATTTTTCGAGATTTGGACTATAAAAGAAAACTCACTGCATTCAATCCATTAGCCAAGATGTCAAACATGTCATCCAGAACACCACTATTGTAGAAAATAGTTTGGTTCATAGAATGAGGCTCTTCTGGTCCACCATCTAAGGAACAACAACTATCGAAAAACATAAAAATAAGTTATATGATGCCATTAGACAAACAGAATCAATGTTTTAATCTGAATAATTGAATAATAACATACACTTGCCTAATAAAGAAATCTAAAATTTCCCCCATTGTTTGACATTGTTCTCTGTTCATCTTAATAGCAGAAAGTCTCCTGAGTACAGGCAACTTTTCTTCACATTCTTTAAAAACCTTGACTGAAGTATCTGTCAGCAACAGCTGAATGACAGAAAAAATAAATTTACACAGAATAAAGTATGTACGAAAATCTATCAGATGGTAGTTGATGCAATTGTAGATTTAAAAATAACATCATGCACTTCCAGTATTTACAATATTCATAGCACAAATCATCAACCTGACAAAAAATAAAATAAAAATAATCTCTCACCTGAGCTTGAACAGCCCGATTAAATAGATTTGAATACGATGAATATCGTCGATTTATCAAATACAGTGATTTTTGTACCATCTTATCATACTTATGGTTTGACAAGTCCTACAAAATCAGTAAAATATGAGTTATTTTTAGAAATAATAAAAGATGCGATCCAATGCGATTCAATGACAGTATACTTACAAGTAATATTTCAGTTAATTTATCTTCTTTGAAATAAACAGTTCTTTCAAATATATCTGTCAAATGCTCGACCGTAGCGCTGGAAAAATAAAAACAAATAACTTCGCACACAATGATCTCGAACATTACTAAAGAAAACCAAATCAAAAAACTAGGAAAAGAGTTGATTTTATGTTGAATTTTACGCGTGTTATTCCAACTTACTGTGTGTCAGTGCCATGTACTTGCTTGAACTGTACAATACATTTCTCCAATCTTTCATTGAAACGAAAATTGAAGAATAAATCCACAATTTCCAGTGCCCTGTGAAAATGTAATTACTGAATATATGCACTAATGTTTATCGGTCCCAGCCTTATATACTTTTCACACATTAGCAGTTCAATCAATGTATATAAAGTGTATTGTACCGACTGTATGTTCGTGGACACATATAGTTCTTATATTCAAACTTGGCTTCACATTAAATCTGTTTGTTAGTATTATCTGACACTTTCATACAATGTCGATGGTATTTTTTTCAGCAAAAGCTCCTCTAAAATTCTACACTGTACATGTGACATTAGAAAATATTCTAGATAAAATTGCGTTTCGGTGAACACTGTAAATACATTACATGTATCTGATTGTATTAGTCAGGTTCGTGATACAAAACAAGCAACTTACATATATTTAACATCCACTACAGCCTTTGTCTCACGATTTTTTTTAAACCTATCGATATTTCGATAGTTTTGTTTTTCTTCATCTGTAGGAGCCATCTTTTTCCCCTGACACTTTATCGTTGCCCTCGGTCTGTCATTAGTACCTTTCATCAAACCCCTTATAGGTTTTAATAGAGCCTTAATATCATCTTGTGTAGTGTAATAACCAAACTTCACTAGTGTATGTACGAGTTTCAGTACCTATATAATTAACATAACTTGGTGGTTAGAAAAAAAGGTGTAGGAGCTGACCAACCAACAAACAAACCAACCAATCAATTTGTAATGATTCAATGTGAACACAATGGAACTACATACATGCAACACGTGACTAGTGTACCGAGTGGTTTGAAAAATGATAGTAAGCGTACCTGCTTCATCAATATGTTATGACCAACTTTTGATGCTGTTAGTTGTTTGTTTTTACTTAACATGTCATTGATCCATTTCTTTAACTGTGGGAAGTATTTATTCTTCAGTTCAGAGTCAGGTACCTAGTAAACAAATCTTACAATTTATACATCATATTAAATTTTTTTTATTTATCTTTGGTTCAAAATTTAATTTTCATACTGATTGGAGCTGATTACCATAACAAGGGTCGCTCGAAACGCCATCTTGTTCAAGTTGGCATTCACTCTCGACAAAATTGTTCAGTTTTGTCACTTTCTCGCAAACATTGTACTACTTTTTCACAAAATGACTGTTCTATTAGACAAAATTAGATCACTTGTATATTTATAAAGCAACTCGGAGATTATAATCTCGTAAATTAACAGCGAAGCAAATGAAAAGATTGAACGAAAAGCAAGAAACGAGAGGTTTACGGGAGCTTTCGTAACCTAATCTCTTGAGCAAACATTAACACTGAAGCACTGAATCGTATTCACCTATGTCTTAACTTTCTGAAAACTATATATGTTGTTATAGCTACATGTTTCTTAACTGGTCTAGAATGTCCGAACCTGTAACAGTTGAAGGTCATGGTATAACATGACGTGAGTTAACATTAAGGTGTGCAATATCACCTCGTCAATCAGATACAAAATGCAACAATAATTGACATATGATCTGAATTAATTTTTTACATTGTTAATATGCAAATATTGTCGTTACTTACAGTACAACGTTCGCGATTTCCAGTGTCTATTTCATCCCATACAAATGATAGTTTCATTCGTTCTAAGCTGGAAATATTTTCACCAACATCAATAAAGAGACCTACATATTAAAGACAGAAAGATATAAAGTGATCTTTGTACTAAGAAAAGGACTTTCTAATCTGATTAAAACCAGATCTTACTATTACTTTTTTATTATTTTAAATTAATAATTGCAAAAGCCCCTAAAAAATCTGAGCTCGCAAATAACTAGAATAGCCAATCAATAAGAGAAGGCCTTGTATACATTTATTCCCGATGATCACGCGTCAAAGTAACGCATTATCTGACTAGTTATTGCGATAGTTGAATGAGATCGCCCGTTGAAATTGCTCTTATTCTTTGGGCTTTTATGAGACAATTACAATAAATTAAAAATAGGGAAATAATGGGAAAAAATGAAATCACTAAATAAATAAATTGCACACAGTTGTGAAAAACAATGTTCAAACATTATTAGATCCTATACTTCAATTGACTTTTACCACTTTTTTTAATATCAGGTTTTTAATGAATTTTACATTCAATTGTCGGACGTTTGTTAGTTGTTCAAACAGAATATGTACGTTATTTTTAAGTTTAAGGGTGTGAGCTTTTTCATATTGTGATCGACAGTCTTTTCTGTCACACTAAACAGAATAAACTTGACCGTTATTTACAAACAGTAATATCAAATTAATTACTAAATAAAACGATTTATTTGACAAGTTTGGTCGTCATTACCAAGTATGGATCATAAATTATCGCAACATGATTATTAAACGACATGAAGTAAAGTAAAATATCATATTATTCACGTGAAAAATCGTGATTTAAACATAATACTTACTGATAATTAAGCTACAGTACTTGGCACGCAGTTCAGGTAATAAATCGTCATTTTTTAAGCAGTAAAACGCCTCTTCCCACTTTAGTTTATCTGTAATTATTTGAATGGCAGCTTCGTTTCGGCCCTGTTGTTAAAACAAATATAATTGGTTATTAGTAATTCTTGAAAACAAATGATTTTCCGTCCGTGAGAATAGCCATTTCAAAATTTCCCTAAACCCTTAGCAGCTTCATAGACGATGAAATATTTTCGAAAAACGGAACAAACTATAAATAAATATTTAAGAGTGTAAAAGTCGAGTTATAAAATGATGTCGAGTAAGTATCAAGATGTGTCATAACACTGGAAGTAATTGCCGTGTAGCATCCTGATCGTCAACGTTTATCATTGGAGCTAATAAGTTAAATATTTACATGGCAAAGTTTTGCAAATAAATCCAACTGGTGTTGCAGAAATAAACGGTGCTCTTTTTCTGTAGCTGCAAAACGTGTCAATCGACACCATGTCAATTTGTTATCAGTTGAGACATAAACTTCTCCAGACTCCCTAACTTCTGTTAAATACAAACATGCCTAGGAATGAGAGAAGAATACAAACAAATTTCAACAAAACACGTTTAAAATCATAAATAGATTCATTAAACACACATCACTTTTGTTTTTTCCTTGTCAATGTATTTTTACATTGTAACGAGTACACTATTTTAACGATCCAAATAAGTAAAGTGAATCGTGGGGATTCATTCCGTGGTAGATTGCAATTTACTGAATTTATAGTGATTTTGAGAGTTCTTTTCATTATGTAAGCTTGTGAATAGTGTACAAAAAACGTTATTTGATATCTACAAATGTATATGTCTCCTGTCAAATTTGAATAACTAACTATTACTCCGTTATTTTTAAAAAGCTGATCTGTGATACGAGCGTTGTCAACTATCGTTTAAATATAAAACGTGTTAAGTTGAAATACTTACGTCTCTTTCCTTGTTTCTCAGCCAGGTGTCAGTAATATACTCTGTACAAACGAGAATAGACGAATGAGTCATTAGATTACTCGACAAGGTTTTGAATTTTGATCGTGTGCAAATTCGAAAAGATAGAGAACTTACGTTGATTATCGATAATGCTCACACCATCGCAGACGCAAAGAACGCCCAGTAGATCCAAATAGTTATAATTCTGTATGGAAGTAACGAGGGAAATATAATGTCAATGTGGGTGTTTGTATGTAGATCAATATAAGAGAGTGATTCGAATATTTTTACAATGAATGAGAGAGACAACCAAATGAAAACAAAGCACAATACAAATACTTTTCTTACAATTTGAGGTTATACTCTACAGAAAATATGACATTTCTGGCAGCTTGCTGAAACTATGTACATGTATAATTTTGACTGACCACACACATATTGCATACGTATACCCCCACAAGAAAATTGATTCGTTCAAAAAACGTAGTTCTAGAAAATAACAAAAATAGTATTAGTTGCCCATATTCCGTATTTCTGTGTTACAGCTGCCTAAACGCACGCAGTGACGTTCGCCTCAACTAGCACGTTCGACATGATTGCCATATTCTAAGTAGTAGTTTCGTAATATAGTTAAATCCAAATTAAAATATATATTTAATTTTCACCTTGTTTTTTCGAAGCAACTCCACATAATTGTCAATATGTTTAGTTGTGGCTCTATCAATGGTCTTCCGATTATCACGAAATAGCTCCATCACCATACGTGTAGCATAGCAACTGACCAGTTCCTATATTGAAATACATGAATGAGATCGAGGATGAGAAACATATACCGGTAATAAAAAAAAAGTTCGCATTTTACTGTGACAAAGGTCAACTTGATTGAAATAGTAATTCTCAAGGCCGTAGGAAGCAAAAATTAGTTGGTCCGGCCATCCATCGAGGGCCGTAGGCCCGAGGCGTATGATGACGTGGGCGAAGAGGGGACGTGCAGAAGTGTGTGTAACGGAGGCGAAATTTAATTACACGTAAAAATATAAACATTTAAATGAAAAAAACATACCTTTCCAGTCTGAGTTTGAAAGAAGTTGCTGAATCTTGCAAGATAGAGTTCGTTCTTCCTACTATCTCCACATAGGAACTGTTCCATCACGTTATAACATTCCACAATTATATCAACTATAAACCTAATATGAAATAAAGGTAACAATAATCGGGCTTCATAAAAAGGATACATGCAAACTATAGCTGCATTATGGTTATGATACATGCATACACATTACATGACATAACCAATAACAATAATACTAACTCTTTATCAGTTCTGTTCTCATATGGCAATTTGGTTATTATCACAAGTATGTCGATTACTTTTAGATTTCTCAATAATTTTTGTCTGTCTTTTATATTTTCACCGTTCACGATCATGAACTGTTGTAACTCTCGTAATCCCAATATGATCTTCTGGCTGTGTCGTTTAGTTAATGCCATACCACTACGTTTTATCTGAAAGAAACAGCAGCACCACAAAAAATCAAACATGTATGCACATTAAATATGTCAATGCAAAAAATTGATGACTATATATAAACATATGTATCGTTTAATGATACATTCTAATCATTCTTACCAAGTAAATTGACCCACTTACGTATTGAATACATTTCTGTAACAATGGCACTATACCAGATACGAAATAAGATATTTTAACCAATTCATCGTCAACCTAGAAGAAAATCAAAACATACAGATTACTGTCACACAAAATATTTCTGGTAACATGCAAATATAAATTTGCAAACATTGTTTTGTAATTAAATATTGAATCAAATACCTTTTGAATTGTGAAAGCATCATCGTATGACATCAGTTTGCTAGCTGTTATTTGTTTTAACGGGGCACGACTCCATTGTATATCACTCATGGAATCACACATTTCGGACCTGTTACTTTTATAGATTTCTAAAATAATAACATAAATCAACGCATCGCAAATAGTACAATTTCGATTATTTTTAAAGATTGGTGGTTAAAATTGACTAGAAAAAAATTATTTACGTTATGTTCACGCTACTATAATAAATCAAAATTCTAATCATGTATATCTGAGATTATTGTGTCACATTGTCGCCTCAATCAATCGGATTTTCGAGTGATGTTCATTATATCAAAATGATTCATTATTTTTAAACACACAATCCATTTAAATGTGACTTATACAAATAAATAATTGTAAACTGTCTTGACTAAGCGCATTTCATGATCACATTATACAATAAAACATTACTAAAAACTCCGATCTAGGCCGATAATCAGTTGTGTATGTGTACAATGATAGCGTTAATATTTGTCTAGTATATATAATATAATTACCGTTTAGACCATGTAACCAATAACCCGAAGCAACGTGTTCTATTCTGGCATAACTTTCAAACTGTATTTCATCCATCTCGTGAATAACTGGATGTAACCTAAATATAGTACTTTTGTCTGGTGCGGTATCTGTCAATGTTAACTACAAACACAAACCGAACAAATAAAAAATCAATATGAGTTGGTCATTGTCATGTTTCTTCAGTGAGAATAAAACTAACTCTCACATCAATATGATCCAAGCTAACGTCTCCTGTTGATAGATAGAGGGCTGTCTAGCTACCTACTTATCAAAGTATCGAAACAATCGTGCTTTTTTTAAATTCCACTAGCGACAATATAATCACTGAAAATAGAGAATTAATGATATCATCACAAATCTTGCAGAAGGTTCTATCACGTATCAAAGCTATCGGGATGGTAGCTCTTCAATGAAAATTCGAAAATATCCGTTTTTGGTCAAAAACGACAAAAATCCAATCGGGGTTTCTCTATATTAACACAAGGGGCATCTCTGACATTCAATATGCGCATATAAATACTTGGCAATCGTGATACATACATTTGAAAGGGGAATATAATCTACAATAGAACAAGTATTTTCGGGTACATGTTCAGATATCACGATTTCCAGATTTGAGCTTTCACTTACTCAATTCAAACATCTATTAAATAAAACTACCATGGAAACCAATTTTCATCTCTCTAGCCTGAGTTTTTTACTTCTGAACCTAAAATTAGACCAAAAGATGTCATACCAAATATAAAAGAAAACCGATCGGTAAGGTGAAAAACTATGAGGGTTTAAAAAAATACCCTCCAGGTACACGAAAAATAATAACGAACAACATATTTTTCATCAACTTAGAGGATATTTTTCAAACAATTGTTGTCTAAATTTGGTCATTATTTGAGAAAATATGATGTTTTCAGAAAAATACAATCACGTCATTAAACAAATACTAAATTTACCTGTTGTTCGCCACCCTTGTCATCTAGATGTAAATATTTCTTTGTAGTGAAATGTTTGAGACGACACAACTGTCCCCACTTCATTGTCCCACCTAGGAAATAACATCATTGTTAATGCTACTCACAATAACATAACACGCAATGCATAATATTGCATCACATAAAGACAGTGTTTTAGCTGTGATCGCAAAAAACAGAAATAAAAAAAACAATTACAGTACCTTTCATCATGTCTTCATTCTCTATCTGCCAATACGTTATTGATGATGTAGATGGGAACAGAGTTTTCGGACGATTTGGATCTGGTTTCCGTACTCTCAAATGAACTACAAAACAAATGAACACAACAAACCTTCAAATGAGTGATTGTAATGTCAATACATAATTCATGAAATAGTGCCATTTGTTTATATACCATAAAACAAATTGAGCCGTGTTGCACCAAACAAGGAGCAAATTGAGCCGTGTTGCACCAAACAAGGAGCAAAATCACAATCATCAGCCTAAAAGTAGTATGGATTTGTGTAAAACGCTTGGTGAAGATTTTTTGTTATACATTGGGTAAAGTACACTCAGTCAGTAAACAGCGAGTGGAAGAGAGAGGCGTTATACAATAGTATACGTGCAGTCAGTGTGAGGCAATGGAAGTACAAGCAATTGAGAAGTGTGGGACTGAGATGCAGAATTCACGTGTAGCTTAGTAACAGCGTGTGTTGTCAGTCGACAGATAGAGGTGAAAAGATGGATTGACCATTATAGTCCTAATTCAGTAGCTGAAGCCCTAAGTGAGTAGCCGTTCGTTTTGACTGGTGATACAAAGGAAAGTGAAAACGTAACCAGAAGTCTCAACAAGTTTTGGAAGTACTGCCAAAAAGAGCAAGCTGCAGAGTTGGTCGTTTTCTATAAAGACTTCTTTTGAACTTTTGAAATCTTTACTGTGTTGGGATTATTACATGACACCTCGTATAATTTGCAGACAATCAATAAGAATAGCCCAGCGTTACAAGATAAACATACTTTTATTCTGTTTTGAGACAATAGTAGTTCTTATAGTATTTTCTATAAATATTGTAGTGTAAGTTTTTTATGCAAGTTCCTAATTTATGGAAATTTGTCACACTTGGTTCATAGCATAGTATTTTTCTTATTACATCGTGACACTTAGATTAAACACTATAAAAAATATATTTCGTAATTATGTCAATATCTTACCATCTTCAGTGACTTTAGTTTGAACAGTTCCTTCAGCTGTTAAATAAGATTCCAACTCCTTGTGAAATAATCTGAACAGAGAACCGGCCTGTAAAAACAGAAACACATTCACATATTTCTACAAAAACACTTTTAACGGACACCTAACATTTATTCTAATATTAAAACGAACTATGGCGAATTAGATAAGTAAATAAGATGGCTACCTTCAAAATTCCACTATGTTCAACATCTGGTTTGTAGTATCTGACTAATGTAAATCCAGATTTCCTCACTGATAAGTTTAATTCAAATCTGAAAAAATATGTTATATATTAAGAGTGATAATAATAATATTATCAAAAGTGTGCAATTTTTTTTTTCAACTCATATTGTATGCTGTCGTTTATTCTTGTGTTGGATTCTTTAAATTGTATTTTCTCTATGGACTTTTGTTTGGTTGGGCATGTTATTCCCATTTCTTCATTCGATGTGGTTATCATAATATATTTCACGATGTGGAGTCGTGAAAATTTAAAACCCTACGACACGATCCGGCTAACGCATCACATATTTCACTTACGAATCAGAGTTGACGAACGCCGGACCAAATATGTTATGGCTAACATGCAGATACTGGCCAGCAGTTTTAACGCTTTCTAACACTATTTGATCATCCACATGCACCTACAATGAAAACATATTTAATTTGTCATGTATACACAGTTTCCCAATAAATAAGTGCACGATTGTGTGCTGGAGTAAAATTTGAATATATACGCGTAAGACAGGGTTGAATTATCACATGATAATGACTGTCCCTGTAACACATTTATAAAATGGTTGTAAATCAAAGCATTCATGGAATCACACGTGTTACATCAGAATCAAGATCGTTTGGGTTCTAGCGTGTTGGATTGGATCGATATTGCTGTTTTTGCCTTTTTTAAGAATATACTTACTTTTTCGCCTTCTGATTTCACTTTGTATCTTGGCATGATTCGAAACTGTGCATTTTTGGCATTGAACTCCAGCAATTCCACCTTGAAAAGCAATGTCAATCTCATTGTAAGATAGCAGCTACGTGAGCTGAAGACAATTTGTGCATAGCAGTTATTATATAATTTGTTCTCCACGAGAAAAAATAATTCATTTTATGTGGCTTCATGAGTCTGCAACTCAGTGTATATCTGTTATTATCTCTATAACAATGACAGTATAGTTCAAGGTTTTGTTTGACTAAATCTTGTCTTACAATAATTTATAATTAAACCAGATCTTTGTTATACAATTTCACGGTTTTCATGTGCCTAGGAGAGATGCATATTTTGCACAAAAATGTTAACGTTTTTTGTTATGTCTAATTTCACAACCCGGTTATAAGAAGCACTTACAAGAATACTACTGTACTCTGTAGCGGAGGTTTGTGTCGAACTGACGTGAATATATTTATCGGTGAACTTGTGCTTGAGCTGAAGACAAAAAATAATAAAACACATATTATTTAATCAATTTAACTCAGTCGGATATATGGTATAAGTTGTGGCAATAATAGGCTAATGTACGTTATCTGTACATGCACTTCAACGAATTCCCATGAATGTTTCCAACCACGCTATGCAAGCATGGACGCATATATACAGAACGTCGGTCCTACCTGTATAATCTGACCGTATATGACGGGTCTGCCATGTTGTCTTTTTTGTTCTTGTTCATTGTTATTTTGTTCTTTATCTGCAGAAATCTACAATTTTAAAGAATAGACATAATTTACGGGTGTATGTACATTTCATATAATTTTGATATAAACAAGCAATATACTAGCAATATATCGATTATAAACAATTGGTACTTTTATTTGATTTATTGATTTACAAGGAAGTTTCGAAACATCATGTATCATGCATAATACACGTACACGTTTTAAATTGACATAACTTTGTGAACAACAATATTATATTACTTTGAGTTGCCTGATCGCCTACCTTTAGCTTCAAGGCTGTCAGTTTCTTGGTTGTATCTTTTGGAAATTTCCTGTAAGTATTGATCAAATAAATTCCATTGAATCTGCAAGCATTCTTGCAGCGGTTCAAACAAGAGAAGCATAGTGTTGTTTATTCTCTTAAGATAGACATAGTGGGTGAAAAGGAATCTTTGTCGTAAACGGTAAACTAAATTTGTCTCGGATCAGAGATCATTTCTTAGATCATTTGGTTGAGCAGTTCATGAAAAATAGTTTGTTTTGGACATTTTGTGGTTTTCGGTTAATCTAATGTCACACGCTTATATTTGAGAAACTAATTGAGCAACTATGATGATTTTGTCAAATTGTATGCAATGCAATTCTTGCACAAGTGGTACAGGTCATTCGTGATATCAAGGTGGTGAGGGATTTGAGAAAATGAATTGCAAGCATTTGATACTGTTTTTGGTAAATCCAAATTTCTTCAAAAATGTCATTCCTTAAGCAAAAGAAGTTTTAATGTCTTCCGATGCGGACATTTCGTGTCAATTAGCTTTGTTAAAGTTCTTTGATGAAGGTAAGGTCACACATGCCATACATGCCGCAACAATTCAGCCTTCCCTGACCCATGAAAGTATTGGGACTGGGCACAGGTTTGAGGTACGAATATTTTTTTTAATTGCGGCCAAACCCCGAACCAGGTCACAACTAATATATTCTTCTCATACTGAACTCATACTACATACAAATTACTACTACATACCAAATTTAAAATCATTGGTCAGTTAAAATATACTTGAGTTTTGGACCCGTTATGTGGGAAATTCAAGACAGTAATCAAACCATATATGACCATTCTAAATTATTTATTCTTTCTCATGAGAAGCTTTGCCTCTGTATTACATATAAAATATCAGTTCAAGCACACACGAAACAAACGCCTAACATTTTTGCAGAATATTCAAGATGGCGGCGAAATCATGTGACTATTGAAATGTTCGTTTTCTATCGAAACTTTGGTTATACATACTACATACAGAATATCAAGTTAGCCAGTTGAATCATTTAAATCTGTGTCAATATTTGTAGCCTAGCCACGTTATTGATCCACAATAAGTTATGCAGAGATCCAAGATGGCGGCCAAATCATGTGACTGATCAACATTATTTTATTTTTCTCCTAAAAGGCATTGGCCTTAAATTCTACTCTCAAAATACCGAGTTATTAAGTTGAAGCACTCGTGATAAACAAATGCCCCAATTTGTGACCATTGTCCCGAGTAATCCAAGCTGGCGGCTAAACCACGTGACAGGTCAAGAATATCTCATTTTTCTGGTAAATAAATCGGGTCAGTCACGTAATTTGACTGCCATCTTAGATTTCCAGCACAGATGGGCACAGATTTTGACATTCGTTTCTTACGAGTGATTCAGCCGATTATCCAGACATTTGGTCTGTTGCATATAATCTCAATCTTTCAAACAAGAAAATAATAATTTCGAACAGACACGTGGTTTGGCCGCCATCTTGGATTTTCATGAAAAAAATGTCAACGTTTGGATCAGCTGTTTTTTAAAGCGAGTAACATGGCATATTGCATGTAGCATGTCTAACTAGAGTCGATCACTATGACAACATGATTATGCCTCTGATTTTTCACAGTTTCTATATAATAATACATTAAATACTTACTCGCTTGCTTGTTTGGCTTTTTTATAATTTTTCAGTGCTTTATACCTATTTTGTACACACATCTGGAACGTTACGGCTACAGAGAAATAAAGTGTTTAATCATTCTATAATACATAACTGTAGCACGATGACAGCTGAATAATGTAAACAGCGGAATCATTGAGCGACACGATTTTAAGTCAGATAACTATGGAAAGCCATGACTGTCTTATCCTACTCATTTACATTACATTATAGGCATTTACCACAACGTGATAGGCATTCATCACAACGTGATAGGCATTCATCACAACGTGATAGGCATTTACCACAACGTAATAGGCATTTACCACAACGTGATAGGCATTTACCACAACGTGATAGGCATTCGCCACAACGTGATAGGCATTTACCACAACGTGATAGGCATTCGCCACAACGTGATAGACATTTACCACAACGTGATAGTCATTTACCACAACGTGGTAGGCATTTACCACAACGTGATAGGCATTTACCACAACGTGATAGGCATTCGCCACAACGTGATAGGCATTCATCACAACGTGATAGGCATTTACCACAACGTGATAGGCATTCGCCACAACGTGATAGGCATTTACCACAACGTGATAGGCATTTACCGCAACGTGATAGGCATTTACCACAACGTGATAGGCATTTACCACAACGTGGTAGGCATTTACCACAACCTGATAGGCATTCGCCACAACGTGATAGGCATTTACCACAACGTGATAGGCATTCATCACAACGTGATAGGCATTCGCCACAACGTGATAGGCATTCGCCACAACGTGATAGGCATTCATCACAACGTGATAGGCATTTACCACAACGTGATAGGCATTCATCACAACGTGATAGGCATTCATCACAACGTGATAGGCATTTACCACAACGTGATAGGCATTTACCACAACGTGATAGGCATTTACCACAACGTGGTAGGCATTTACCACAGTCAGCTGGCATCGGTGTCGCTGGGTACGGGTGTATATGATAAAGGAAAGTTGTGCAACAAAATTTGCCGAGTTCGCAGTTTTCCGCCAATAAAAAAATAACTAAGGCAAAAACGGTTTTTTAGCATTTTTGTAATAAAGACATTATTCTCTATCATATACATATACGGAGCAACTGATATATACACACGGCACGAGTGACAAGTGACTGGAGTATATAGAGTCAAAAGTAAGGAAAATATGTAAAGTTTAACAAAGGTATTGATCTATTCCAACTGTAAACGTCTTAACTATCGTCTACAGTTCATGTGGAAGCGTAGACCTGCTGTACACGCTGTCTATACACGCCCTATTCCAGCTGGCAACGGAGCATTGAACCGGTTACACTCGACGAACCAAAGGCTTCTTGGCAAGGTGGTTTGGATTAATGTGTTAGTTCCTAGGAAATTTACTCAGCTCGCAAAACCATTGGTGACATCCACTAGAATACTGCATCCACGGCGACTTCTTAACAAAGGATAAAAGAGCCGGGCCTTCCGACGCTCAAATGATGTGAACCCTCATCAACTGCGTGGCAGGAAAGCAAAATACACCAATTTTCGTGTCACAACTACTAGGTGGTGATTTTGTCTATCCACAATACAAGCGACAAAATACAGTAATTATAATACCAAATATTGCACTAAATATTTTCAAATATCAGTTTCTTGAATAGTGCTTCGGCTAAGATAATCTGCTCCTACATTTTGGGAGCCTTTAATCGCCACGATTCTATACCTGAATGACTGTAGGTATAAAGCCCACCTTGCCGTTCTTCCATTTGCCATTCTAGCACGATTCAAGTAAATCAACGGCTGGTGGTCAGTTTCAATAACAAATTCTCAACCATACAAGTACTGCTGGAATTTACGTAGACCCCAAATTAGTGCTAGACATTCCTTCTCAATGACTGAATATTTAGCTTCTTGTACAGAAAGCTTTCTACTTGCAAAAGCTACAGGAAAATGATGGTCATCGTGAATTTGCATTAAAACCGCGCCCAGGCCGGTATCAGAAGCGTCACTACGTAAAATAAATGGTATATTGAAATCTGGGAGTTTCAAAATGGATGGATTACTGAGGGCGCTTTTTAGCCCTTCGAATGCTTTTTGATGTGGTTCTTCCCAATTAACCTTCTTTGATTGGCCTTTCCTGGTTAGGTCATGTAAGGGGGCAATTGCCGCAACATTTTGAACAAACTTTCGATAGTAACTCGCAACACCAATGAATGAACAAACCTGCGTGATTGTATGTGGCCGCTGTCATGAATTAGTTTTTGCGTATCTGTTAATCGACTTAATTAGCTGATTTCGAGCGAATTGCTGTATTATGTCTGTCATCGTTTAGGCCTATTTGAAGTTTTGGACGGAACTTGGCTCAGTGATTTGGAAGTAATTACGAGATAACCGTCGCTATTCAGACTACGATTTCTGACAGTTGGTATCCGTAGTTATTAATGTAGTGAACGATTAATCAAAAGATATGACGTATTCAGTGCTTAGTGTGATTGGCTTTATGATTGAAGGTTACGCCCTAGAGTCTTTTTACTGTTTTGTAATTGGTTAGTGTTTTGAAAATGAATAAAGAGAGTTTGAGTTGGTCTTGGCGAGTACAGCACGACAGACGCAGTCGAGAGTCCAGTCCTGGGGCGAGCCTTGAGGCATTCCAGTCTTGGGTGAGTCTTGGGTCAGCCTTGCGATAGTCTTGGGGATTTTTCCCCAGGGCGCTGTGGCTTATAGAGTGCTTGACAGTCCGACTAAGACGAGAGTTGAAACGTATTTCGCTGTGTGTGTCTTATTTGACTGTAAAGCTTAAGTGACTTTCCCGATCCCGCACCTCAAGGGAACGAGATATAGAGACGAGACGAGATTCCCCCCTGACACGTGTGGAGAACCCCGTGAAGAAGAATTCCCCCCTGATACCGCTCTGTATAAAGTAATGCCTTAATTTTCCCAGGCATTGTTTGAAGCGTACCTTGACCCACCCGATGACCTACGAACTCTAATTCCCTGAACCCCACATAGCATTTACTCGGTTTAGTCAAAACATCTGAAAATGTGCGCAGGTGAATTACCCATGACTCTGTATAGATAAGAATGTCATCCACCAAGTTTACCACCCTTCCTTCCATACCACGGAGGACTATTCGCATTATTCTTGAAAATGTGGCTGGACTATTGACCAATCCAAAGGGCATATATCTATATTGGTACTGGCCAAATGGAGTTTAAAAAGCAGTTTTTGCTTTTGACTCGACAGTTAAGGGTATTTGCCAAAACCCTTTGGTTAAATCCAATTTTGTGAAATACCGTCCGCCAGTTAATTGTGCAAATAATTATTCCGGGTTGGGCATCAGTTCAGCATCAAACACAGTAATTTGGTTCAATTTCCGAAAATCGGTGCAGAACCTGATTGTGCCATCCTTCTTTTTTATTAAAACTATGGGGGAGGCATATGGCGAATCTGATGGTTATATAACCCCCATGTCCGACATAGTTTTAACCAATTTAATGATTGATTCTCGAGTGGAAAAAGGAGTTGGGTAAGACTTTAATCTTACCGGCTGCTCAGATACCAGTTTAATATCATGACTTCCTACCCTTTACCTGCACGGAATATCCGTTAAAGTAGCACTATATTTTCTCAAAATACGTTTAACTGCATTAATCTGATCGATATCTAAATCAGGACAAATATGTACGTCCTCAATAGTTTCCACCCCTTCAATGGGGACTACCTGAATTAACCCTGTAGGGAGAGAGTCAGAGTTATTTATCCTAGAGTCCGATGTCCACACCTCCCTCAATATGGCCATAGGGCCTCTCACGGTCCTACCATATAAAAGTGCAAATGGGGAAAATCCAAGACTTTCTTGGGGAGCCTCCCGTTATGCAAATAATAATGGGCTGATATACCTATCCCAATCTTTGGGCAGTTTAAAGGGGACATCGATTAAGGGCATAGTGCCCAGGGGCACCTTACCCACCTTTCCCTTAGTGGAAGTACGTTGACATGCATCACATGACTGACAATAACGTTTGACGTCATTGTGCATGCCAGGCCAATAAAACTAACTAAGTATTTTATCGACAGTTTTACGAGTGCCAAGGTGACCTGCCAGGACGGAGTCGTGACCTAATCTCATTATTTGTAAACAAAATTCTGAAAGTACTACGAACTGCGTAAATTCTCGACCTAATTCAATCCTAGGGGACCTATATTTGCTATAGATTAATCCATTTTTGATTATGAAATAAGCTACATTGTTTTTATCTGTGGTTTTCTGCTTACCAGACTCAGCCAAGTTACAAACAGATTTTAAACTAGGATCCCCGTCTTGTGCTGCTTTAAGCACCGCTACTGTAACTTGATTCGTATCATTCGGGAACAGTCATGGGATGGGCTAGTCTTTTCTTAGACTCAATTTGGGCTCTAGTTTCTACGGTCTGTACTAACTCGATCCTAGCCCTGCGTACAGTGCTGTGTGTACGGGGACGAATTCGGTTGATAGATGTCCCCACCACAGCCCTGCGTACCTTCATAGACAAAGTCTGGGACTTTGAAAAATATAAATTTTTAATGAAATAACATGCCCAGGTACCAAAAATGATGATCGATTACCAGATATATCCAGAACTCCCAGTTCGGAGT